CATCTGCAACAGCAGCAACATCAGCAGCAACAGCAGCAGGGAGCTGTTCGGAGTTGTCTCCTTCTTCAGCGGCAGGAGCGGCTGCTACCTCCACTACTACAGCAGCAGCAGCTGCTGCTCCCCCCCCTGCTGCAGCTGCTGCTGATGCTGCTGCTGCTGATCTTCAGGTGTTTGGGGGCCTCGACTACGAGACGTACTTCGGTCCTGGCGTTCGCTATGAGCCTATCAATGGGGGTTTTCTTGTCTTTCCTCCTGTCTTCCCTGATAGAGTATTTGTGCTGCAAGCAGCAAACCACCCCTTGCTGCAGCAGCTGCAGCAGCAGCAGCAACAGCAGCAGCAGCAGCAGGTGCAGGGGGAGGGGCAGGAGGTTCGAGAGGTGGTAGAGGAAGAGGAAGAGGAGGCGGAGTGGGTGCGAGCGACGCCAGAAGCAGCAGCAAAGAGATCGGCTGCTGCTGCTGCTGCAGCTGCTGCTGCAGGGGCCTTCGGGGCCCCTGAATTTGAACTGGGGGGCCCCCACGGAGCAGCGGGGGCCCCCGGCCTCGTTGCAGCTCGCTACCCTTCGTTTTTAAATCCAGTAAATCCTCTCCTAAGGACCGGCAGACAAAAGGCAAAAGAAAGGAGAGAACGAGACTCAGGTGATCTCTGCTGCTGCTGCTGCTGCTGCTGCTGCTTTTGTTGTTGTTGCTGCTGTTGTTGCTGCAGCTTCTGCTGCGGGACACAGGCTGTTGTTGCTGCAGCTGCTGCTGCGGAGCGCAAGGCTGCTGCTGTCTGAAATCACCCAGGTTGCAATTGCTGCAGCTGCTGCTGCTGCTGCAGTGTGTGCTGTTGTGTGGCATCTGCTGCTGCAGGGCCTCAACAGCGGCAGCAGTGGGGTATGGATGATATAAAAGGAGATATACCGCGAGGGCCCCTAGGGGCTCCCAATGACCGCTTTAAAGTGAGCACCTTTCGTCTTGTTTGCTGCTGCTGCTGCTGTTGCTGCTGCTGCTGCTGCTTGTCTCTGCGCCGTCTCTGGTGTTACCGCTGTTTTTGCTGCTGACTTTTGCTGCTGCTTTTGCTGCTGCTGTTGATTTTGCTGCTTTTACAACTGGTGCTGCTGCTGCTACTGCTGGTCTCCGCACCCCAACTGCCCTCCCGTTTGCTGCTGCTGCTGCTGCTGCTGCTGCTGCTGCTTCTGCTGCGTAGGAACTGGTTGACTCTGTAGACTGGACACGCGAACATCCCACTTTAGAAGACCAAAACCATTACAAGAGGTTTGCCTTTTTTGCTGCTGCTGCAGCAGCTGCAGCTGCTGCTGCTGCTGCAGCTGCTGCTATGTTGGGTGGTGCATTGCGTCGCACTGAGCACTTGTATGATCCCCGCGTGCAGCGACATCTACTGCTAGCCAGCTGCTTGTCTAACTATCTAGCTAGCTGCTTGCCTATCTAGCTAGCTGTTTGTCTGTGTGGTTAGCTAGCTAGCTAGCTGCCTACCTATCTAGATCTCCGTCCGTATGCTAGCTAGCTAGCTAGCTAGCTAGCTGTGTATCTTCACTACCTGTCTGTTTGTTGGGGTATTTGCGTTTTAAGCTTCGTGCGTAATTTTTTTTAGGTGTCTGTCTATACACTTGACTACTATTGTTCTTTTCGATGCTGCTGCTGCTGTTGCTGCTGCTGCTGCTGTTGCTGCTGTTGCTGCTGCTGCTGCTGCTGCTGCAGGACTTATTACGAGACAGGTTTAGGGGATTTGAATCGCAGCAACGACAATTACTTCGACGTGCAGTTCTTTGGGGCTGTCGACGCTGCAGCGCATGCAGCAAGCGGAGGCAGCAGATTTAAATGGAGTTTGTTATGGATACCCTGGCTGGCGAAGATACACCCGAAAGGAAGACAACCCATTAAGAGCCCTTTCTTCACATTAGGAGGAGTCGAACCCCTGCAGGTGCAGCAACAATACTCCTGATGCTGCTGCTGATAATGCTGCTGTTGCTGCTAATATTGCTGCTGCTGTTGCTGCTGCTGCTGTTGCTGCTGCTGCTGCTTTAAGGTGACTCTTCTGCTTCGTTTCAGTGTATTTTTATCTGTCTCTTTATCTCTCTCTTTATCTGTCTCTTTATCTGTCTCTTTGTCTGTCTCTTTATCTGTCTCTTTATCTGTCTCTTCTATCTCTTCTGCACGCTTTGTTTCTGCATGCATGCAGCAGCAACCCCATAAAATAGAATAGAATTGCATGCAGTGCATGCATTGTCTGTTGCTGCATGCAGCTTTGGTTTTATCCGGATGGGGCTTCGAGTTCTCTTTCTGGGTTTTGTTCGGTTAAGTTGGTCTCACGCCCGGGCTGGCACTTGCCTTTTCCTATTCTTTTATCAATACAAGGTGCACCAGCAAGACCCCTCTCGCAGCAGCAAAAGCAGCAGCTGCAGCAGCAGCAGCAGCAGCAGATGCAGATGCAGCAGCAGCAGCAGATGCAGCAGGGGCTGCAGGGGAAGATGCAAGAGCAGCAAAAACGAAGACGACGGAAGCAGCAACAACAGGAGCAACAGCAGCAGCACCAGCAACAGCAGCAGATGCAGCAGCAGCAGCACAGCAGCGAGGATCTGACGCTGTCTCCTCTCTCTGTCTCCTCAGCCCTTCGATTTGCTGAGCCTTCAAAGGTATCTGTGGGGCCCGTCTGGAGGGAGACGGCGGAATGCGTTGCATTTTGTAACAGCTTCTGCAGGTGAGGGTGAACGTACACCGCAAAACCATTAGGGTTTAGGGTTTAGGGTTTAGGGTCTTGAGGGGCCCACCTCCCCGTTGTCTCCTCCTTCTAGACGTAATAAACCCTAAACCCTTCTAAACCCTAAACCCTAAAAGTTAGACATCAAAGCATGGGTTGTCTTAAGCAGAGACAAAGGCAGTCTACTCCTTCTTTGTGTCTAGGGTTTAGGGTTTAGGGTTTAGGGTTAATTTTATTAATGCATCTAAAGAGATTCCTTCAACTATCAGTTCCTGCAACAACAGCCTCCATACCTAGAACTTGATGTTCTGTTGCTGCGCTGTTGCTGTTGCTGCTGTTGCTGCTGCGCTCGTGGCTGCTGCTGCTGCTGCTGCTCTGCTGCGTTGCAACTCAGGCTGTTGGACAAGGAAAGCTACATAGTACAGGAGGATGCCCCTTTGCCTCCTACTGCTGCCCCAACCATCTCCCCCACCCCCAGCAGCAGCAGCAGCAACAGCAGCAGCAGCAGCAACAGGATATACTATAACCCGGAGACAGATGTTGTGTTAGATGCCTTTGGAGGAGTAGATATAGAAGTATCTGTTGCTAACGAAGATTGGGAGTGGGATGAAGGGGCTTCTGACTTTGAACAATGGCTAAAAAAACAAAGTGCATATCCCGATGATAACGAATTAGAAAAAACTCTTCCTCCGGAGTACGTACACCCCACACCCCACACTTCTTTTTTGCTGCTGTCTTTGTCATTAGTAAGCATAAATAAATAAACAAATAAATGTATATATATATTTACATAAGCGTTAGTAAACATGTATATGTATGCATATATATATATATATATTATATATGCATTAGCATAAGCTTAATGCATATAGCAGTTATAAT